TACGTGCAAGGGCGGCATTAGAGGAAGGGTCTCTAGTGTGCTTTGTCGGTCAAGGTCCGGGGGCCACTGAATGCCAGGGTGAACATGGCTCCGGTGCAACTCAGCCCCTCTCTTCCTGGGCGGCCCTTCAGTCTCATGTACAGGGTGGAAGTGGATTTCCTTCCAAATCTAGCTGTAAGGGAATACTTCTCCCATTCATCAAGTAACGTCACTTGTCTTCAAATGACCATTCTTCAGGGAGTTGGGGGGTTGCTGCCTCAGCCCAGGGTCTCATCTCATTGAGTTTTCTTTTGTGTTCTTAGGCCTTACTGACCCAGCCCCCACTGCTTCCAGAGAGTCAGCTGGAAATAGTCAGTGGCACCTGTTTCAGGTAGAGGCACAGCAATGGCTACATCACTAAAGTGCCCAAGGACCAGAGCTCACCGGTTACTTAGTCTGTGCCTGGCTGCACTTTGCTAGATCCAGAGCGGCTGTATTCTCTAGAGCTCTGTCCACTGTAGCTGGGACATGCTGCTTCCAAGGGTTGTTCCCCAACATTTAGTTCTGTGGGTCATGATGGGATACCTCAGGAGGACTGACCTGGTGGGTTATAAACTGTGGTGGTGCTGCAGCCCTCCTAAGCCTTTACACACCTGCTGTTCCTGTTGTACAGAATGAGCCATCATCAGACCTGGACTTCTTCAACCCCAGGCCCGTGTCTGCGGCCTGCTGCCCCTCAGATGGATCTCTGCTCCCTCCCCCAGTGTCTACCTCAAGTACGTCCCACGCTCCACTGCCTGCTCCCTTCCCAGCTCCTGTGGTCCCAGCCAGTGCACCTGCCCCCAGCACTGGTTCCTTCTCGTTCTCTTCTGGACCTGCCCCAGCCTCGGTTCCAAAGGCTGATCCCACAGCCCCAGAGTGCCACAGCTCAGCACTGGGTGACAGCAACTCGCACCGCCTAGATGCCCTTGATCAGCTTCTGGAAGAGGCCAAAGTGTAATGGATGGGAGAAGAGAGGGTGGCTGAGGGTGGAGTGTCATATGCAGGTCAAAAGGGAGGCTCCAGAGGACGGGGTATGGGGATCCCTTTTGGTCCTGTTAATTGGGCTGGAAGCTGGTGGCCCTGGGTAGCTAGGGATTGGCCTTGATTGAGGGGTTGCCCAGCAGTTCTAGCCTGCCCTCTGACTTGTCCTCTGTCCTTCCTTCCTTCCCCCCCAGGACCTCAGGCCTGGTGAAACCTGTTTCTTGTTTCTCTCCTGGGGCCACCACCTCCCCGCTGCTTCCCACCTCTACCCCAGCCAGGCCTCTCCTGCCCTTCTCCACGGGACCTGGAAGCCCTCTCTTCCAGTCACCAGCCTTCCAGTCCCAAGGCAGCCCTCTGAGGGGCCCAGAGCTCTCCCTGGCCAATGTCCATGTGCCCTTGGAATCAATCAAGCCTAGTAAGTGTTGGAGACAGACAGCAGGCCACACGGCCAGTGTTTACAGGTGTGTGGTCAGTGGGTTCTGACTTTGCAGGGGTCACTTATGGTTAAGGGTCTACTTGCCTGCTGTCTTAAATTTTTTATTTATTTATTTATTTATTTATTTATTTATTTATTTATTTATTTATTTATTTATTTATTTATTTTTGAGACAGGGTTTCTCTGTGTAGATTTGCACCTTTCCTGGATCTTGCTCTGTAGACCAGACTGGCTTTGAACTCACAGAGATCCACCTGGCTCTGCCTCCAGAGTGCTGGGATTAAAAGCATGTGCCACCACCTCCTGGCTGTCTTAAAAATTTTTTAAAGATTGTATTTTCATTATGTATGTTTGTGTGCCTCAGTCCATGCATGTGCTTGGCATGAGTACAAGTTCCCCCAGGGGTCAAAGAGCGTGTCAGAACTCCTGAAACTGGAGCTGCAGGCAGTTGTGAGCTGCCCAGTGTGGGTGCTGGGAAGCTAGATCCTCTTCAAGAATAGCAAGTGCTCTTAACCACTAAGCCATCTCTCCAGCCTATCTCAGCTTTTTGTTTGTTTTGTTTTTCGAGGCAGGGTTTCTCTGTGAGGCCCTGGTTGTCCTGGGACTCACTCTGTAGACCAGGCTGGCCTTGAACTCACAGAGATCCACCTGCCTTTGCCTCCCGAGTGCTGGGAATAAAGGTGTGTGTCACCACAGCCAGCTCTACTCACCTTCCTACAGCACTTGTGTAACTTGGCCTCTCCAGTTCTCACAGGGGAGCACAGTTCAGCCACACTTGCTTTTCTCCATCCTGCTTGGCTTCACTCAAGAACCACTGGGGCTCTGGAGTGCCTTGGGTATTCTCTCCTGTCCTACTCTATACTCACTAGTGACACCTCCTTGCAGGCAGTGCTCTTCCGGTGACAGCCTATGATAAAAATGGCTTCCGCATCCTTTTCCACTTTGCTAAGGAGTGTCCCCCAGGACGGCCCGATGTGCTGGTGGTGGTAGTGTCCATGCTGAACACAGCTCCCTTGCCAGTCAAGAGCATTGTGCTGCAGGCCGCAGTGCCCAAGGTATCCGCCTCCCTTATCTTGAACCTACTATTTTGGCCGCCATTCAGTGGCCAGCAGGTAGCAGTTGGTCTCTCTCAGACACCTGGACCATTCCCTTCAAAGGAGCTTCTTTTTTATCTTCAGTCAATGAAAGTGAAGTTGCAGCCACCCTCTGGGACAGAACTTTCTCCGTTTAGTCCCATCCAACCACCTGCAGCCATTACCCAGGTCATGCTGCTGGCCAATCCACTGAAGGTAAGCATGGGAGACTCCACAATACCCCCCTGGTCCTGCTGCCCCAATTAGGACACAGGAGTGCCACCTCGGCGCCTCTTGTCTGAAGTCCTGGCATGACCTGTAGCAGGAACTCCTTCCTGTCCCAGGTTAAGGGACTGAGCATGGGTAGACATGGGTGCACAAGGTCCATCCCACCAGCAGAGTCAAGAGAGTGACCTACAGAGGGACTCCTGGACTGATTCTCACCTGCCGCCCTCTGTTACAGGAGAAGGTGCGGCTTCGGTATAAGCTGAGCTTTGCTCTAGGGGAGCAGCTGAGCACAGAGCTGGGTGAAGTGGACCAGTTTCCTCCTGTGGAGCAGTGGGGGAACCTATGACCCAGCGAGTGCTGTCATCTCTCCTTGGAAGGCAGGCAGCCTGAGACAGGCTCTGTCTTGTCCAGCCACTGGACACCCTTACAGTGTTTCCAGCTTGGTGTAGACCAGGGCCCTGGACATTTATCAGGAGGCAAGCCACTGCTGTGATCATCTCTTCTTGGGCCCCTAAAAGGACCAGTTTTATCTGCCTGTGTGACTTGAAGTGGCCGTACTGTGTGGGTGGGGAGTAGCTGGTGGCTTCACTGGCTGCCCTGGGATGGTGGACTCTGGGCCTGGAGTGGGTTTTCACTTTTTTTACTGGCATCCCTTGCTACCAGGGAGAGGGCTCCAAAGAGCGCCTTTCCAACCCCTTCAAGAACTGCGTATTTTCATCCTGAAGAGGCATGACATGGGAGACTGTACCTCCCACTGGTGTTCCATGCAGCTTGGCTAGCAGGCACTGCTGCTACCTGAACCAAAGGGGGCAGCAGTGGTCCAGAGTGAGAATCTAGAGTGTACTATAGTCTTCACTCCGTTTCTGCATCAGCAGCATCCTGAAGTGGCTATTGAGTGAGTGACGTGCTTTTCCTGACAGTGGCCGGTTGTGTCCTATGGACATCTCAGCAGGACAGGGAACACGGCTTGATAGCCTCAACTAGGGATAGGAAGGGAAATGGAAGAGTGCCAGTGTTTCCCTTCAGAAGCAGGTACTGTGGCTTTCTAGGAAAAGCATATCTCCTGCAGTGGGAATAGGCCATCCTACTCACTACCTCTTGCTTGGCATGAAATAAACTGCTGTGTTTCCCTTAAGCCTTTAAGGGAAGACACCTCCTGCCACTCTGCATCCTCCTGCTTTGGTGACTCCCCCTCCCCGCCACATGGAATGTAGTGTGGCACATGTGGTTGGACCCAGGAAGTCTCAGGGTCACACACATTGCACTAGACTTTGTCCTTTTGTGCTGCACCAAAACACCCACTTTTCCCCAGCTACAAAGGGGCGCTGTCAGCGACATGTTGGGTCTGGAAGTGATGAGGGGCCGTGCTTGAACTGAATTACCAGACCCTATTGCTTCCACAGTGCTCGTCCTTACCTCAGCTAGCATGCCCCAGCTGCCCCAGGCCAGAGACTTTAAGCTTCAAGACAACAGGGGCCTCAGCTGTCTGTTCCTTGGGAGAAGGAGGATGACACAACTGTACCCCTGGTCCCCTACACCTGGGAGCATCCTTGCTCTGTCTAGAGGTCATCTGACCTACCTCCCCACCACTGTCCTTAGCTAGCAGGTTTTACAGTTTCCTGACAACAGGTCAAAAGAATCATTTTCCCCAGTAATGGAATAAATCCAAGAACTTTCCAGAGACTGGTTTACTGCAGCCCTGGAATATCTCTGGGATTACTATGTGGAGACATACCTTTATGAACCTTTGAATATTTAAGTTATGAGTGTTGCTCCCTAACACAGAGGTCACTCTTCGTGGTCCACAGCTGTACTGGATGGTGTGCCACCTTCTGCCCTTGTTTTGCTGCATGTGAAATAAAACCATTTTCACCCAGCTTGGGATCCTTCAATACACAACAGTTCATCCCGACGGGAAGACAGTATGTGCGAACTCCAGACAGGTTTCTGAAGTCTTGTTGAAGATAACCGAGGAAGTTAGGGAGTATGTTCCAGGTCATTGGCTGAGTCGGGTAAGACCTCAGCAACAAAAATCGCCAAACTTTCCGTTTGGGCAGGAAGACACTGCATGTGCCTGGCCTGTGTGCTCTAAGACACCATTCTGTCCATGAGCTCAGGGGCCAGGTGTAGCACAGGCTACTTGACACAGCCAGCCTGTGAGGTGTGGCAATATCCATCTCAAAAACAGACCAAACAGTTTGTTCATTTTTGCCACTAGTTCAGGATAGACAAAAACTCCTTCGTCAGACTACTAACTGGACTTATATTTGCAAAAGAGAATTTATTGCTTTAAAACCTATTTACATCACCATACAAAGTCACTACATTGCAACTACTGTCCGCGGTGGTCTCAGGAACCTTCCAGTGAGCCTTCTCTTAGAATTGCCCGAGCGAGGTTCCGGGCAAGAGCCAGTCTCAGCATCTCCACCTTGGTGGCCTCTATGTCGTCTTCGTCCTAAAGAGCAGAGAGGCAAGGTGAGGCACAGCAGGCAGTGTTCTCTAAGGCTTCCAAGGAGCACAGCAATCAGTCAGCCTAAGACCGGTGTGCTATGGGTGGCTCTTGCCATGGATGGCAGAAAGGATGGGAAGACTAGAACCACGGACCACAGGAGAGTGGAGGGAATCCCCAGACAGAAACCTTTTTTTCCTACTCGAGCATGGGACCACCTCCCCAAAGTTAAAATGACCTGGAGTCGCTGGGCATCAGGCTCACCACACCCTGGCCTCCCTGAGGCCAAGTCTTCCAGGCAGCGCATCAGCTCATATGTCTGCTCTGCTGAGAAAATCACCTAGGGGAAAAAGACCGATTCACTTAGCTGCTCCCCAGGCAGAGCCTGTTTGGGCTAGGTCCAAATCCACGGAAGACCTTCCTTCCAAGGACTTGAGAAGAATGCTTTGCATAGAGACCTGGGCTGCTGCTGCAGCTCCTAGTCTCACATCCACCCCTCTAGTCAGGCTCAGCACCACTGGCAGATAGCATCACGTTGGCTTTTCTTTCATGAGCCCTATAATACACTTGCATGCACTTGGGAGGAGGCATATATGAACCAAGCTAAGGAGGACCACTAAAGGACAGAATACATTGCTTAGAAGTGGAGCCTTACCTGTTTCTGTTCCAAAAGAGGTAGGGCATCTGTCAGCAGAGTCATCCAGAAAGAACGAGGTGCTATCTGAGAGGTCATGAGGGACAGCAGAAGAGAAGCAGCGTCACCAAAGCGCTTCTCCCCATACAGTCTGTGGAACTCCCGGTACTTTCCTGTTGGGAGGGGCGTGAATTCACCTGAACATTCCTCTCCACTTACCTGAGACTTAAGACTACAAGAGGTCAGATGAGGACTGGAAAGATGGTTCCATAGTTAATCATATGAACTGTTCCTATAGAATATTTGGATTCAGTACCCAGCACCCGTATGACAGATCACAATCATCTAACTCTAGTCCCATGAGACCCCATACCCTCTTCTGGCTTTACATACATGCAGGCAGAACACCCACACACAAAACAGAAGTTTTAAAAAAGGATTAAAGGGCTGGAGAGATGGCTCAGTGGTTAAGAGCACTGGCTGCTGTTCCAAAGGTCCTGAGTTCAATTCCCATCACTTACATGGCAGCTCATAACTTAACTCCAGTTCCAGAGGATCTGACACCCTCACACAGATATACATGTAGGCAAAACATCAATGCACATAATAATTTTAAAAGAAAAAAAGATTAAAAAACTCTTGAGTCCTGGTGATATACATGAAACGGAGGGAGAAGTTAATCTCTTCCTGCAGTGAACTGCCGGCTCACAGTGATGAGACAAGGGTGGAAGTGTGATGGGCACTGGACATGGAAACCACCCCAGACTTTCTCTAGACCCATAATCCCAGCCTGGAGGAAGTGAGGCCAACAGATTCTTACATTTGGTTTGGTTTGGTTTTGTTTAAGGATTTATTTATTTTTATGCGCATTGGTGTTTTGCCTATATGTATGTATGTGTGCAGGTGTCAGATCCTCTAGAACTGGAGTTACAGACAGTTGTAAGCTGCCATGGGGACTAGGAATTAAACTTCGGTCCTCTGGAAGGGCAGACAGTGCTCTTAACCATCTCTCCAGCCCCCACATTTCCATGTTAGAGGATAGGGTGGTCCACATAGGGATTTCCAGGACAGCCAGGGCTACACAGTGAAACCCTGTCTTAAAAACAAAAATGAGCACAAAAAGTGTCATTCCTTGTGACATTTCTACATTTCCTTAAGTTTGGAATTACTTGAAAATAAAACGTTACCAAAACTCTGCAAAGTAGGTTTCTGAGCAGATTGGAGAAATCTAGAAAGATGGTTTTCCCTCATACTCAGGGAAAAGAATACAGACTCACCCAGGAATGTCAGTCGATCACTGAGCATCATGGCTGGCCCCAGGTTGTCAATGAGATCCAAGTCAGAAAAGCAGCCTCTCTCACAGTAATCCCTGAGGAATCTGCAGGACCCAGGCCAGAGGTTAGAGCAGCAGCACTAGGCCCTCCTCAAACTCCCACCTCCCAGCCACCCAGAAAACTGTCCCCACCTGTCAGATACGAGCGTGGCAAAAGCAGCGTCTTTGGCACGGATGCTCCAAGAGAGGGCTGAGCCCAGGCGGTTATTGCGGACAGCCTTCATGGCCAAGATCTTACAGATGCTTCGAACTTTCAGGGGAGAAGACAAAAGGCAAAGTCTTAGACCTTATCATCTCTCCTGTGAAGAGCCCTCTGGGACAGACATGGCCAACCTACAGCCTCTACAATCTAAAGAACTATGAGCTCAATGTACAGCTAAGTGAGAAGAACCAGAAACTTAATAGGTCTGACCTCTCGGCTTTCTCTTTTACATTGGCTCTGTGTTTCTTATTTCAATAAGAGGATTGGTTACATCTACAGGTTATTCTACCCCTGCCCCCCAGATGGTTTCTCTGTGTAGCCCTGGCTGTCCTAAAACTCGGTCTGTAGAGATCTACCTACCTCTGTCTACCAAGTGCTGGGACTAAAGTTGTGCATCATCACTGCCCAGCTCATAGTTTATTCTTGCTGCCTTCACTCTGCTCAGTACCACAGATGACCCACCCGCTCGACTGGCTTTCTGAGTGTTTGTGCTTGAGTGGCAAAAAAGGTCTTAGTTTCGTGCCCCCCCCCCCTGCCCCAACAGTCCCACCATTATCTGTCCAGAGACCACAAAATCTACCTTCCTTCCTTCAGGTCTTGAACACCATAAGCTTCCAAGTGATGGTTTAAGTGTACAAGTGCTTCTCATTCAGCAGTAGTGGGAGGACAGGGACAAAGCCATGGACACCTGTCCCTGCCGCTGTGCTCCTGCCCAGCTTCCCCACTGCTCCAGGTTTTGCTGGAGCAACCAACCACCTACAGCTACATATGATACTCAGCTCTGACCACAGGTCGCATGGAATGTGAGGACAGGTAGATCTTTTCTAAAGGAAAAGGACTGATTTTTTCTAGGTTTTAAAGGGCAACCCCAACTCTTCTGTCCCTCCCTGATGTGGCCCTGTGTCTAGGCATGTACCATGCACCATCTCTACGGTGTGGCAGTGAGAGGTAAGCTGTCACAGTATTTAGGAGCTGTGCTCAGCCTAAGGATGCCCTGACAAACCAGAGGACGGGCTGGGAAGAACTGGGACTCACCTTGTTCAGTCATCTGCCGCTGCTCACAGACCCTCAGCACCTTCAGGGCTTTCTGCTCTGTGTTGAGGGGAATCCGCTCTATGTGCAGCTCCAGGGAAACGCGGCCCAGCTCCGGGCAGTGGTCAAAGTAATCCACCCCCAGCTGCCACAGGCTAAGGACCAAGGAAGGCAGAGGTTGAGAGGCTAGATGGGCTGCCCTATGGCTCTGGGCATTGCCACCTGACGCTCATCCTCCCAACCCTTGAAACCAGCCAAGAGAGCAGTGAAACTGCCCTGGCATCCACAAGGTCACTACCATTTGTGGGGCCTTCCTACCTGTGATGAGCAAAGAGTCCTGAGGCATATTCCAGCAGAAGGAACTCTCTCATGTTAGAACCAAAACTGGAAAAAAACAACACAGGACTGCAAGCCTGCCCCCTTCAGGGCTCCAGCAACCTAACCTGCTCCTGTGCATTGAACTGGCCCTCCCTCAAAGGCCTGGTGACATAAGGAGGGCCGGTGCATCTGGGCAACTTACTAGAGGTTGTGTGACTGGAGGAGTCTGCAGTGATCCAACAGGTCGGTGAGGTGAGCTACGAACCACCAGTTGCTTAAGGCGATGCTGCAAATCCAGACACCAAGCAAAAAGGGAGTCAGGGAAAGGACCAAATCACATGACTGAGATGAACAGGAAACCCACACATCCTATGCTTTAAAAAGACAAAATAACTGGGCAAAGAAATGGCTGAGGGAAAGGTCCTGATGCCAAGCATGATGATCTAATCTTAATCCCTAGGATGCACATAATAAAGAGAACCAACTCTCAAAAGTTGTCCTTGGACCTCTACTGGAAACAACAGGGCATGTATTTGTGTGTATATGCAACATGCTCAAAATTTAAAAAACAAAAAAACAAAAGCTGCCTGGTGGTGGTGCACCCCTTTAATTGCACTGCTTGGGAAGCACAGGCAAACAGACTTCTCTGAGTTTGAGGCCAGCCTGGTCTGCAATGCTGCGGAAAATCCTTTTGTACACTGTGAAGATTCGTCACTGTGATTGGTTTAATAAACAAGCTGACTGGCCAGTAGCTGAACAGGATAAAGTTAGGTGGGAAAGCCAAATTGAGAATGACAGGATAAAGAAAGGTTGAGTCGGGCTGGGTGGTGGGGGTGGTGCGCACCTTTAATTCCAGGGCTTGAGAGGAGGCAGAGAGAGGGAGGCTGATTTCTGTGAGTCTGAGGCGCCAGCCTGGTCTACAAAGCAAGTTCCAGGACAGCCTAGGGCTTGTCTGGGGAAAAAAAAAAAAAGGGTGGAGTCAGGAGTCCCCAGAGAGAGATGAGTCAGACATACAAAATGAGATAGAGATAAAGGCCACGAGCCTTGGAGCAATACAGGGATTAATAGAAATGGGTTAAGTTGTAAGAACTAGTTAGTAATAAGCCTGAACTATTGGCTGATCACTTATAAGTAATATTAAGCCTCTAAGTGGTTATTTGGGAACTGGTGGGCAGGACAGAAACTCTACTCCATTTACAATACAGAGCAAGTTCCAGGACAACCAGAGTTATACACAGAGAAACCCTGTCTCAAAAAACAAAACAAAAAACACATGTGGTGGCACACATCTGTAATCCTTTTACCTAGTAAGTAGAGACAGGAGGATCAAGAATTCAAGAGTAACCTTAATCATGTATCAAGTTCAACTTCTGTCTGAACTACATGAACCCCTCTCCCCAAAAAATCCAACATGGTAGCAGAAGGGAAATCCTTTCCATTGCCCAGATCTACTGTAACAAATCCAGGTCAGTGAACTCAGTTCTAAGCAAGGCTATCTGCGGCCACTCCCAACTTCCTCCCTTACAAGCAGGCTGCAAACCAATTCTCAGTACAATACAAACAGCCAGATACTTAACTACTATATAGAGAGACTCCTTGAAAGTGTTCCCATTTGTTTGTTTTGTTTGAGACTGTGTAGCCTTGCCCTGACCAGGAATTCAGAGATCCCCCTGCCTCTGCTTCCCAAATATAGGATCAAAGCACGAGCCCCTGCACCTAGCAAAGTTTTGGTTTTCTGAGGCAGGGTTTCCTGTAACTCAGGGATCAAATTCACTATGTAGCCAAGGTTGGACTTGACCTCCTAATCCTCTTGTATCCACTCCCAAGTAGATGATCACACCACCAGGTAGGAAGGCTGAGCTTTGATTATGTTAGATACTCCCTACTTCGGTTATGGTTCATTGCAATGAAGGACAGACTTGGGATTGAAATTAAACTGTTGGGAAACACTCTCCTCTAAAGTGAGTGCATGTTTAGTAGGTACCTAATAATAAGTTTACTATTCCTAGATTTTTTTCTTATCTAACATTTATTTATTTGTGTTTCTATATGCAAGTACACACCAAAAGCCACAGCATACATGTGGAGGTCAAAGGACAATTTTCTGAAGTTGATTTTCTCTTTCCACAATGTGGGTTACAAGGAATCAAACTTTTCAGGCTTGGTGGCAAACACCTTTTATCTGCTAAACCATCTCTCTCTTTCTAGATTTTATTTTCTTTCCTTTCTTTTTTTAAGAGAGGGTTTCATGCAGCCCATGCTATCCTTGAACTTGTCATGCAGTAGAGGCTGGTCTCTGAACTCTGCTCCTCCATTCCTTAGTCTTCCAGGTAGCTGACTATAAACTTGAGCTACAAAGCCTGGCTACTTCCTATCTATGTCATTTCCTGCAATACCATTTGGAATATTCCTGCAATGGAAACAAGTATAAACAAGGCAGAGCTCAAGCTCCAGTAAAACCCCCAGTTCATCAGAAGAAGCCATTATCTGTTTGCATGTGGTCAGGCAGAAGACCTGAGCAGCCTTAGTGGCCATGAGGGCACTAAGAGATGGGGCTTCAGTGGGTGATAAGGACTCTCCTTCACAAATGAAATGCAGTCAGTTTACAAAGCACTTTTTTAGCAGGCTATGAGCCCTGCCTCCCACCTTCCACCACATGGGGCAGGCCATCCCTCCCTCTGGAGGATGCAGGACTCAGAAGCACTATCAGGAGCTGAGTGTGGTGACTCAACCTCTTCCCCAGCACCTGGAAGGCTGAGGCAGCACTGAGGGTCTACTGGCTACACAGTGAACTCCAAAACAGCCTACGCTACTGCAAGAGACTCTCACAAAACAACACCGGCCGTCACTGCAGCAAGGCACCTGCCAGGGCCTTCACCCAGACTTCCAGCCTCTCCAACTGTGAGAAAATACATTTCCATTCTACATAAATTACCCAGGCTCAGGCACTCCATGACAGCAAGTCTACAGAAATAAATGTAAAAAGGTTAGGTATGACAGTCCCTACCTGTAATTCTAGATTTTTTTGAAAGTTCAAGGCCAACCTGGGCTACTTAGTCAGTAGTCAGTTCCAAGGCAGCCGAAAACCACAAAAGATGGCTTGGTGCATAAGAACACTTGCTCTGCTAGCATGAGGGGCCCCAGTTTGAATCCTCCATACCAGGGAATAAGCCAGATATAGCTGTAAGTGCCTGCAACCAGAGCACTGAAAAATGGGCAAAAGTAGATCCTAAAAGCTTACCAGCCAACAGTCTGCCTAGGAGAAACATCAAGCTTCTGGCTCAGTGAGACTCCATGTCTCAAAGCAATAAAGCTGAGGCTTTCACAAGGCACATTAACCATCACACACAGAGTATACATACATACAAATATTTAAAATATATATATATATGGGGTTGGGGATTTAGCTCAGTGGTAGAGTGCTTGCCTAGCAAGCGCAAGGCCCTGGTTCGGTCCTCAGCTGGGGGGGGGGGGAATAATATATATATATATATATATATATATATATATATATGCCACTACACAGGAAAAAGAACAAAAACACCAGGCGGTGGTGGCTCATGCCTTTAATCCCAACACTTGGGAGGCAGAGGCAGGCGGATCTCTGTGAGTTCGAGGCCAGCCTGGTCTACAGAGTGAGTTCCAGGATAGCCAGGGCTACAAACAGAGACCCTGTCTCCAAAAAAGAAAGAAAGAAGGGAGGAAGGGAGGGAGGGAGGAAAAGAACAAAACTAGGAAAGAAAGTGAAAAAGGAGGAGGAATAAGACATTCTAAACGTGATGAGGGTGACGGCTGACGTATATTTAATGCCGCTGAATTGTACCCCTTAAAATGAGAGGGTATGGTGCACATGCCTTTAAAGGAGGCAGAGGCAATCAGATCTCTGGGAGTTCAAGGTCAGCCTGGTCTACATGGAGTTCCAGGATAATAAGAGCTACAGAGACCCTGTCTCATAAACAAACAGTTCAAATGAAGCCTCACCTGCACTCCTTGATCACCTGGTGGATGTCAAACTCAAAGGCCGCCATCAAGATGTTGTCCAGTGGCTCTGGACTGCTCTCACCTCCCAGAAACATGTCCAGGCTGGACTGTGGGAAGGTGATAGCCCACTCAATCTCCAAGATGGGAGCAGAGACTGGGGTGGGGGTGGGGGCTGGGGCAGGACTGCCGTGTGGGCAGTCTGGAGAGGAGTTCTTCCCAAAGAACTGAAGTAAAGAGCCTTCCTGTGCCATGGAAGCCACACCAAGAATTAGGGAACCAAAGAGTCCCCCGGACACTGTCACTCACTCACCTGGGCATAGAAGTGCAGGTCAATAGGTTTCACTGTGGGGTTAGAATACAGCAGCCTAGTCACTAGGAAATGGTACCAGTTGCTCAGAAGCTCCTTGTGCTCCAACAAGGTGGCCTCGTCTCCCAGCATGATCTGAGGAGAGATGTTCTCTGAGCCCTGTCCTCAGTGAAGACTTCTTACATCTCTACTGGTCTCATCTGGGGCCATGGGTTCCCTCCTTTGCAGTCACTGACTTGACAGCCCTCTCCAAAGAGAAGCCAGTTCCTTGCTGCCTGGATGCCAGGGTCCCAAGGGAAGCACCCCGCCCCGCCCCACCCCGCCCCACACCTTGCAGAGCGACTCCAGACGGGGGCTGGCTGCGAATGTGCTGTCTTGCAAGTGCCGCTCACACTCCTCACGCCAATGCTGCCACTTCAGCTCCAGCTCCGTCAGAGTCTGAGTGTTGCCAGGCTGTGGGAGAGACTGGCTGTGAGACACGAAGCTCCCAGACGTACAAGTTCCCTGATCCCTATCTCCCAAGACCGGGCAGGCAAGACGGCTCTCATGTACACTCAGAATGGGCATTGTCCTCATCAGATCCCCAAGGATGCGGCACATGCTTGCAGAAGGGGGGTTGGCATCAGCTTCTTTGGACAGCATTTGTCGTGCCTCATCCAACCGGCCCTGAAGCACCAAGACAGTCACCTGCAAAGAGATGTGGGACGTGAGCCCCAGCAGAAGGCTCAGGACTGCAGAGTGCTGACTCCTCCAGGCTGCCCTTGACCCAAGTCAGCAAGAACTCCTCCCTTCCAGCAGTAACTCCCAGTCATACCCTGTGCTGGCTGGCTGATTTTATAGTAGTATCGTCATCGCAGGCGAGAACCTCAACTAAAAAAATGCCTCCATAGGATCAGGCTGTGGGTAGGTAGAGTATTTTCTTAACTAGTGATTGATGGGGGAGGGCCCAGCCCATGGTGGGTGGGGCCATCCCTGGGCTGGTGGTCCTGGGTTCTAAGAAAGCAGACTGAGCAAGCCATGAGGAGCAAGCCAGTAAGCAGCACCCACCACGGCCTCTGCATCAGCCCTGACTCCAGGTTCCTGCCTTGGCTTCTCTCAATGCACTATGACTCTGGGATAGGTAAACTAAGCCCTTACCTCCCCAGGTTGTTTCTGGTCATTGTGCTTCATCTCAAGAATAGAAGCCCTGATGAAGGTATTACCCCTCTGGAAAATGTCAGTTGTAGGACAGTTGGCAGCCAACTTTACATGTTTGAATCCCTGTGTGTACATACGTGTCTACACAGCTGTGTCCCACGAGGAGGCCAAAGGATTTTATCAGGTGATTGGTTCTACTACTCTGTGACTTAGTCCCTTGAGACAGGCTCTCTCACTGAACTTAAGAGTTAGGCTGGTGGCCATCCTCTGCTTTCCACATCCCACATCACTGGGATTACAGGCAACCACACCACCCAACCCTGTTTCATAAAGACCAAAAAAAAAGCTACAGGCCAGTAAGGCTACATAGTCAGACCTTGTCTCAAAACCCAAACCAGCCTGGCAGTGGTGTCACACGCCTTTAATCCCAGCACTCAGGAGGTAGAGGTGGATCTCTGTGAGTCAAGGAGTCAAGGCCAGGCTGGTCTATAGAGTGAGTTCTAGGACAGCCAGAGCAACCAGAGCAAAGAAACCCTGTCTCGAGGAAAAAAAAAAAAAACCCAACAAAATAACCAAAGATACTCTTTTTCTTTTTGTGGTGCTGGAGACTGGGATCTTGCTGATGCTAGGCAGGCATTCTACTAGGATACCACACAAGCCCTGATCAGTGGTCCTCAACCTTCCTAATGCTGACCCTTAATACAATTCCTCATGTTGTGGTGACCCCAACCATAAAATTACTTCATTACTACTGCATAACTGTAATTTTGCTACTGTTGTAAACTGTAATGTAAATATCTGACATGCAGCGTATCTGATACCCCACAGGTTGAGAACCACTGCCCTAGAGTATCCTACCACCTCAAAATGGCCGCTGTGCTCATCTGCACTCCATCCCCACCTTGGTCCTCGTGAAGCACTTTTACTATTTTACCTTCTCTTCCTCAGCTCTACACACAAACCAAACTTCCCTTCCAACCGCAAGTTTACCAAGCGTTACTCTCCATGCTAAATTACTTTGAAACTACTCTGGAGCAGAGAAGGAAAGATGTAAAACCACCTCTGTGATCATAAACTCAAAGAGCTGAGCCAAGCCTGGAGCATTAGGCCATCCTATCTCCACATGACAGCAGCAGGCCGCAGAATGCAAGGCAGAAGGAAGAAGGGGCCAGGCCACATCACACTCACCAAGTTCCAGAAGCTCTCATGTTTACTTGGGTTCTCACTGCCCAGAACATCTGCTGACAAACTGTCCACCTCACACACGTGCAGTCGGACCCAGTCAAGAAGATGAAGGAGGAGGGGGCCAGCTGAGAAGAGAGACTCATGTCACACTCAAAGACCCCACCTTCATCTGCAGCAAGTTCCACTTTACCCAAAGTACAGACACTGATGTTAAAGCAGAAAACCTGACTGCAGAGGGGTTTATCTCCTGCAACTTGAAAGGAAAAAGCAAGGCGCTTACAAGCCAGTCCAGTCCAGTCTCTGCAAGGCAGGACTGTCTTTCACTGGACCCTGGAAGGGATGATATCTGCCTCAGACTGCTCTCAAACATCAGATTTTTGTTGTTGTTGAAACATGGTTGTGTTCTAAAGCCCAAGCTCATCGAGAACTCTGACTTCTGCTTCTGCCTCCCAAGTGCTGGAGTATATGGGAATGTCAGCATTGGAAGTGTGTGCTACCACACCCTGCCACGCTGCGTTCTTTACAAATATGGAAGGCTGTGTGCAGCGTGTCTGAAATGGCTACCCGACTGTTGGCATTAATTAGATTAGATGGTACGTATCAATGGTGATAGATGTACTTCTCAAAATCTACTGGACAGGGGAGGTATCTGAACAAATAAGTCTGAATTATTGCTTTGAGTTTTTGATATTGGGAGGGTTGTTTTTGGTTGTGTTTGGGGGTTTTGTTGGTGATTATTTTTTTTTGTCCTTTTTAAAATTTATTTATATTTATTTACCTGTAATTTATGAATGTTTTGCCTGTATGCATGCAGTACTCAAAAAGGCAGAAGGCAACAGCCGGGCCCTGGAGCTGGAGTTACACAGAGCTGTGATCCATCCTGGGGCTGGGAAGCACACGGGGCCCTCTGCGGAGCAGCTGTGCTCTTAAATTACCAGCCGTCCCTCCAGCCCCATTTTTGTTTTCTTTCCCCCCTTCTTTTTGGAAACAGGGTTGCACTATCTACACCTGCTTGTCCTGAAATTCAGAGACCCTCCTGCTGTTGGAGTTTATGAGTATGCCACCACCCCTGGTCTACGTTTTGATTTTATTACGGTAGAAGCTTACTGTGTATCCCTGGCTGCTGTCTCGGTAGAGCAAGCTGGCCTCTGCTGGGACGAATCGCTTGCATCACCACAGTGGGCTGTGTTTTGTCCTTTTTAGGCAAGATCTAGCTATGTAACCTAATGGCCTCTACCTCTCAATCCTCTGCCTTCAGCCTCCCAGTCACTTTAACAGGAGTGTGAGTGAAATGCTATGCTGCACAGAGGTTAAGGGTATTGGAAGTCATAGGAAAGAGCAAGCATAAGTCATTACATTGCAAGCTAACAATAAACAAACAAGGCCGGGCGGTGGTGGCACACGCCTTTAGTCCCAGCACTCGGGAGGCAGAGCCAGGCTCTCTGTAAGTATGAGACCAGCCTGGTCTACAGAGCGAGATCCAGGACAGGTACCAAAACTACACAGAAAAACCTTGTCCCAAAACAACAACAACAACAACAAAGCACAGCACCTGAACAGAGAGACCAGGGCACTGGATGAGCCACAACATAATTCAAGATCAAAGGAATAATCCCAATTAGACAGGGAGAGTGTCCCTAGCCTTGATCACCAGTCACAGCATTCTTGGCCTCCCATCACCTAGTCCCTTCCAAAATCCCTTACACGTAAAGCTCGGACAGTGCATAGACTGGGCATCCTTTTTTATGCTAGTTGGCTATTTGTTTCCCAGTACTTTTTTTTTAAACGTGTGTGTATGTTTTGCCTGCACATGTCTGCATCTGTGCACCACTTTCATGACTGATGCTAACAGAGGCCTGAGTGAGCTCTGGACCCCCTGGAACTAGAGGTAGAGACGTTTGTGAGCCACCATGCTGGGAACTGGAAGGCCTATGGAAGAGTGGCCAGTGCTCTTACTTGCTGAGCCATTTACTTCTGTAGCCCCACAGAGTAGTTTTGAAGTGTCATCTACCTATTGTTTTCAGTTCCTAGAAGGCACTTTCTAGGACACTTCCTGTGGGATCTGACGACTTGCCCATCTCTGTGGCTGCTCTGTCCTTGTCTCTGATGGTTACATTCAAGAGCAGCGCAGCACCAGCCTCTGAGCAGCAATGCACTGTCAGGATACACAGCACAGACCAGAAAGGACAGAGAACAACAGGGACCCTGTGACATTATGACAGTTAGCTGGGCTTAACTGAGGCTACATGAAAGAAACAAACAAACTGAGCTTACCTGGGGCTACTTCAATAAAAAGAATCTCACACAGGTTCCAGATGAGCTCCATGGCTGACAAAATGGAGACCTAAAGAGGAAATGAAGACAATTTTAACAAGAAACACTGCTGAAATCTGAATGCAAAGAAATATGGTAGAGCCTAAGTCACAAACCAACTGTCAGTGATACTCCTCCAGCAAGATTTCCCACCAGAGAGCCCAGGACCAGATTTTAGATGGGGAGAGAAAAACCTGCACAATTCAGCTCAGTGGTGGTGGCACACACCTTTAATCCCAGCACTCCGGAGGCAGGGGCAAGTGGATCTCGTGAGTTCAAGGCCAGCCTGGTCTACAGAGCTATAGTTCTAAGAGAGTCAAGACTACACAGAGAATCCTTGTCTCAAAAAACCAAAAAAAGAAAAGAAAAAAAAATAGAAAAAAAGCCCTGCATAATTCTGATACTAGTGAATTTATTTTGATATGAAATAGAAAGGTAAACTAGCATAACACACTGATGCTCTTGACGAATTGTGGTTATAGGAGTTTTACCTGAGTAAAAGGAAGAGATAATTTTGAGAAACTTTGTCAATAAATTGAATGAATGAATGAATGAGCAGAACAAAACTGCAAAGTCAGAGCCAGGGCAGTGGTGAATACCTATGAACTGCCACTCAGGAGACCGAGGCAGGAGTGTCACGGGTTCCAGACCCACCTAGCCTGTAATCCCAGCACTTGTAATGCAAGGGTAGGGGATGAGGACTTCCAAACCAGCTTGAACTATATGAGATCCTATTAAAAAAAAAAGAAAGAAAGAAAGAAAAGAAAAGGGGAAAAGACAGGCTCATATGCCACAGACTGCAGCTTAGGAAACAGGCTACTAAAGGCTGAGTCCAGGGGCTGAAGATCTTAGCAGTGGAGGGCACTAGCTGCTCTTGCAAAAGACCTTGGTTTGATTCCCAGCACTCTATGGTAGCTTACAACCACCTGAAACTCCAGCTCTAGAAGATCTGATATCTGCTTCTGACCTCTGTAGGGATGACGCACACACACACACATTGCACAGACACAATGCAGACAAAATACCCACGCACATAAAATAAAAAAATTAAAACAGAGTCCAGGGCCAGCACTCAGGAATCAGAAAGATCAATACAAGTCCATGGCCAGCTTGAGCTATAGAGTGGGATCCTGTCTGAAAAAACAACAGAAGGGCTGGAGAGATGGCTCCGTAGTTAAGAGAATTTGGGTGCAAGCATGAGGATCAGAGTTTGGATCATAGCACACAGACAAGCCGGAGTCCTGAGCACATCTGTAACCTCAACTATAAGGGGGACAGAGAAAGGAGAATCACTGGAGTTTGCTGGCTTCTAGCCTAGCCAAGAAAACACAACCCCAGGTTCAAGGAGAAACAGAATAAGCAGAGAGTGAGAGAGGATATTCAACATCCTCTTCTGTCCTCCACATGCATGCACAGGTGCACTTGTATGTGCATACACCCAATAAACACACACAATAAAAAATGAATAAAAATTAAGGGGACATGTAGACTGAGGATACATACATAGCTCAGTGACAGTGTAGGTGCTTAGCACACCTAGGGTACTGGGACTGTGACCCAGCACTGTAAAAACTGGAAGAGCAAAGCGTGATACAAGACCCTCCCACATAAGATAAAGGAGACCTGGACCCTGTCCTTAGGAAGACGAAGTCATGCCTCACCATCACCATGCTTCAGTTCAGACATTGTCACTCCTTGAACCTTGGTTCACAGAAAAACACACTGTGCCAATCTGAGACAGGGTATTATTATCCCTGTTAATCAGTCACAAAAAACGCTTAGGGATCTCACTAAGGAAAGAGGGTTCTGTGTGTCACCTTCTAGTCCCTACTGAATTATAACCATCTGCTGCTCAGCAAAAATGTTGAGTTCCAAACAATGGTCCCAAAAGCTCAACTCTCCACCTCAAATGACAATTCACCAACACCATGTGTTAGACCTCATCTTTTCCACAGGAAATGAAAACTCAGCATTTATCAAGTAGATCCTAGTTTCCATTGGACTAGACCTTGAAGGAAACTCCAGCACTTTTAAAGCCATACTTGCCACCCCAAAGAGCTGCTGGTCTACCTGGAAAGAAAACCCTCCTGCAACAGTGACTACAAAGCCACCCTAGACACTAAGGATACAGAAAGACACAATGTTGCCAATACAATGAACACAAGCCACCCCCTTACCTGGCTGCTGAACTGCCGGCCACTGGCTGGATCTTTAGCAGCAACTAGCAGAATACAAAACATCTTAAGTTGACTATATTCAATCCACTATGCCCTCCTAAGCTCAGTATGGCTCCTGTCTTTGTTTCTTTTAACACCCACCCATTTTCATTAGAAATGCTTATACATATAGCACATCCAACTGAGGCCCCACTCCGAACTGTAAAGTAGCCTCCTTAAAGGCCTCTGGAGAAAACAGTACCAGACACATACTGCAGATATACACAAGATCCTTACTTGCAACCTGGTGCATTTCTTCCATACAGGCCCGTATGACCGATCGGTAATTTTTACTCACTCGAACCAATCTACAAAGAAATGAAATGACACAAGAAGACATTAAAGGGCTGGAGAGATGGCTCAGAGGTTAAGAGCACTGGCTGCTCTTCCAGAGGTCCTGAGTTCAATTCCTAGCACCCACATGGTGGCTCACAACCATCTATAATGAGATCTAGTGCCCTCTTCTGGCATGCAGGCATACATGCTGGCAGAACACTGTAAGCACAAATAAATAAATAAATCTTTAAAAAAAAAAAATGGAGATCTGGCTCAGAGGTTAAGAGCACTGGCTGCTCTTCCAGAGGTCCTGAGTTCAATTCCCAGCACCCACATGGTGGCTCACAACCATCTATAATGAGATCTGGTGCCCTCTTCTAGCCTGCAAGGATACATGTAAACAGAACACTGTATACATAATAAAAATAAATAAAATCTTTAAAAAAAAAAAAAAAGAAACAAAAACAGAAAAAGGCTGGGTGGTGGTGGCTCACGCCTTGAATCCCAGAACTCAAAAGGCAGAGGCAGGTCTCACCATGCAGCTCTGGCTAATCTGGAACTTACTATGTAGACCAGGGTGGCCACTAGCTCTTCAAGATCCGCTTACCACATTTTCAAATCTCAAAAAAATGAGATCTAATTCAAGGGCTAATTTGGACTAGCCTTTTATTTGTTTATTTTTTGGGGGGTGGGCATATACAAGGGACACATACAAATGAAGTAGGAATCCAAACAGAAAGGCTTATCAAACCAGTAAGTCTTCCAACAGTATTTACATAATCAAGAAGTCCCATCCTGAGAAAACACACAAGAGAGCCAGGAGTTCCATAGCCCTCTGTCACTCACGAGAATAAGGATGCATTTTACGTCATCATGGACCAGCATCCACCAGTATCCAACTTACTGAGCTTTCCTGGATTTTCCAGTCAATTCCTCCTCAATTCTTTGCAGACCAACAAAGATTCCATGGGATTCATTGAAGAGTTTTCTCAAAATTTGAGAGTAAACATCTACATCTTTCCGTATGATATAGATAAAGGGGCAGCTCGGCACCTTCTCTGGTTTGTCTGAAACAAAACAAGAAAAAATGTAATTTAACATCTATCATTTCCCCCAAAAGAGAAACCATTCTAGTATTTCTAATTCTTTAATTACAAAAACTGGCTGAGCATGAGGGCATGTGCCTTTTATACTAAGCACTTGTAAGATTAGGACTGAATTCCATGCAAGCTAGGTCTGTTTTAAAAGGAAAAAAATTGCCAGGCAGTGGTGGCGCACGCCTTTAATCCCAGCACTCGGGAGGCAGAGCCAGGTGGATCTCTGTGAGTTCGAGGCCAGCCTGGGCTACCAAGTGAGCTCCAGGAAAGGCGCAAAGCTACGCAGAGAAACCCTGTCTCGAAAAAAAAAAAAAAAAAAAATTTTTTTTTCAGAAGATAGGGAACGTTGAGCTGGGGTCTCACTCCACAGCCTAGAATGGTATCACAGTCTTGGCAACCCTACTGCCTAAGCCTTCCAAGAACTAGGACTACAAGCAGGCAACACAACACAGTTTCCTCTTTTTTGGTGGTATTGATGATCTTATTAAGAGTGTTGCACATGCTAGAGAACCTTATCACTGAGCCACTGGATGATACCTATATCCTTGGTTTTTATGGTGGTTTTGTTTTCTTTCCCAGCCAGGTGAATCTCTGAGTTCAAGGCCAGCCTGATACACAGAGAGAGATTCAGGACAGGCACCAAAACTACACAGAAAAACCTTGTCTCAAAAACCAAAAACAAAAACAAAAAAAACACAGGTTGCTCTTCCAGAGGACCTAGGTTCAACTCCCAAAACCTCACTTGGCAACTCACATAAAAATATAACTCTAGCTCCTGGGATCCAATGCCCTCTTTTGGCCTCTGCAGGCACCAAACACACAAGTGGTGCATAGATATGCATTAGCCAAATACCCATACATAGAAGATAAATTTAAAAAATGCTAACGTCAAGTGCAGCAGTTCACACCTCAAATCCCAGCACTCTAGCAGCTGATGGAGGAAGATGCAAAACTCAAGTAAAATTAACCTGGACCACATAGCAGACTGCACAAATTCAAGCCTACTAGAACTACAAAGAAGGACCCCATCTCAAAATAACAAAAAAAACAAAGAAAGCTTCAAAAATAAAAATGTTGCCAAATAACTTCAGTTTCTGCCCCAGGTAGTCAACAAATGTGCCAGGACAAGGTGAACAAGAACTAACTACCTTTTTTGTTGAAGGAAGTTTCACACAGGAGCATCTCCCCAGGACCCCAGTCAAAACACATTTGCTTCTTCTTGGAATTCACGCCTGGAATCCACTAGCAAAACAGAAAGCACAGAACTGTTACTCCTAGTAAGGGTTTTCTTCTCATTCAGTGTGTAATCACAGAAATGCATAGTCAGGCTGGGCAGTGGTGAGCACACCTTTAATCCCAGCACTCAGGAGGCAGCAGCAGGTGGATCTCTCGTTTGAGGCCAGCCTGGTCTACAGAAAACCCTGTCTTGAAAAACCAAACAAAGAAAAAAGGAAAAAAAGGGGCGGGAAGGAGGGCTGGAGAGATGGCCTATCATCTAAGAGCACTGACTGCTCTTCCAGAGGAGCCAGGTTCAATCCCCAGCGCCCACATGGCAGCTCACAACTATAATTCCAGGATCCAACACCCTCACACAGACATACATACAGGCAAAACACCAATAAAGATCATTTATGGCCTGGCAGTGGTGGCACACACCTTTAATCCCAGCATTTGGGAGGCAGAGCCAGGCGGATCTCTATGAGTTCGAAGCCAGCCTGGTCTACAGAGCGAGGACACACACACACACACACACACACACACACACACACACACACACACACGATCAATTATTCACAAGATAACCAAGAGACAGAAGATTCAAGTCCCATTTGCTCTCACTTTTTTTTTTTTTCCTGTAAATAAGGACCCAGGTAACAAGCTGGCCTTCTGATACTCCAGCATCCATTTCCCAAATGCTGGGGGTTACGTCCTGGCTTTTGGAGAATGGTCTTGCAACGCAATTACCAAGCTAGCCTTAACTGGTGAGCCCCCAGCCTCAACCTCCAAAATCCTGGGCTTAGATGGGCATCGAAACACCTGGCTATGAATTTATCAGAGATTATCCACATTAGATAAAAAAAAGGTGCTGGAAAGAGGGCCCAGAAGGTAAGTGCGTTTAATGTTGTTGCAAAGGGCTGGAGTTCGGTTCCCAGCACCTACGTTAGGCGGCTAACTCCAGCACAGGTGGTATCCGATGCCCCTGCACATACTCAGATACATACACAATTAAAAATATGTTCTAAGTCCAAGAGGAACAGAATACAAATCGGCAAAAACTGGTAGTCTATACTCTCCTGAGAATAAACGACGCATTTATCAAGCCTCGGGCCAGCGTAGCAGAGGTAGAAGCTAATGCGGGGTTTACACCGAGGTCACTCTAAAGCCCGAAGGGGAAAACTAGAGAAGCAGGAAGGTCAGAAAGACAAGGGATGAGCGGGATGCCGTGGGGCCTCGGCGGCCGGATGAGTGGTCAGGAGCCGAAGCCTAGGGACCGCCCCCGCCCTAACCAAGTTCCCACTCCATCTGACATCCCGGCCGGTGGCAACGAGCCCAGGAAGAAGCGTGGTCCCGCAGCTAGGGAGGCAAGCCTGCAGTGACCAAGGAGACGCAGCCCTCACTGAGCGACAAAACAAGCCTCTCTCGGGCGCCCTTACAGTTACTGCGGGCTCGCAATCGAGCTCCTCCATAGCGGGCGGCCCTGCGAGCGGAACCTCGCCGCGCTGCCGATGCTCTCCACTCAGGCCTCCCGCTCACAGCCAGCTGCCAAAGAGGACCCCCGCCAGGGCGGCTTCCGCAGTGCCTGCACACCTCAACGCAGCAGAGCCCTTCGTCTCAGCCACGACCCAGCCCTCTGCAGCCTTCCATTCGTGTGACACCATCCTGCCCGAGACAACAACTCAGGAAAAACAGTGCAAGGAGCCACCTGACCTCGCGGAATGCTCCCAACGAATCAGGCGGCGCCGCGGACAGTCCCACACCTGGCGAGAAGAAGGCCCCCGGAGATGGCGGGAGAGGCGGCGGCTGGGAAGGTGTGCGCATGCGTGGGCGTGGAATGGCTCATCCTCTTGGACAGCAGTTTCTTGGCTTCAATAAGCCCACTTTATCTCTTCGTGGTGGTTGTGAACCGTCTCCTCCTGATCCATGTATGTTATTAGATTTTTCACTGCCCCTTTTCCGAACTCCGACAAGCATAACGCGCTTATTTTGGAATTAGCCGCGGCCACTGCCACCCCCAAAGAATGAGACATCATCAACCTTTTACATACTGGCAACTTTTTTTCCTTGGGATTATTCTGAATGACCTACTTAAATTGGTGGACATATATAACTTGGAAGTAGGGAACGGTGGCACAAGCTGGGAATCACAGCACTTGGGAAGTGGAGACTGGAAAATTGAGAGTTCAGGACCAGCGTTAGCTATATAGCAAGGTTTGAGCTCACACCAGGGCTAAATGAGACCCTGTCTCAAAAAACAAAGAAAACCCCACAGGTTGTTAAGGAAATCTTTATTTTTCTTTAAAAATCCTTTGCCATCAAAATTTCAAACAAATCCTTACCACTGAAATAAGCCATCCATAACAAAATTTAGGGGGCTGGCATGTTGGGGTCAGTAGTGGAGCACTTGGTGCTCTGCCAGAAGACCCTGGTTCAAGTCAAAGCATTCACACCATGTGAAACAACAGTACCAGAAGATGCGATGCCCTCTTCTGGCCTCTGCGGTCACCAGAGAGACAGCCACAGACACACACACACACACACACACACACACACACACACACACACACGGCACACAGACATGCAGGCAAAACACCAGTATACAAACAAATGAAATACTTTTTTAAAAATATTAAATTTACTGTAAACTTAAAATATTTTTAAAGTTATATCTTAAAATATGTATATTTTTTTTAAAACATAAATTTACACAAAGCACAACTGATTTACCACATGAATCCTGCTGCTTTTCCCAGAAGTTTCACAGTGCTATTATAATCACTGACACCAACAGTGTATTTTTAAAGTAAAAAAAAAAAAGTTATTCTTTTGTTGTTGTGATTGTTGTTGTTTTGTTTGTTTGTTTATTGTGACAGGGTTTCTCTGTGTAACTGTCCTGGCTGTCCTGAAATTAACTGTAGACCAGGCTGGCCTGGAACTACAGAAATCCACCTGCCTCTGCCTCCTGAGTTCTGGGAGTTAAAGATATGATCCCCCACATATTAAAGATAAGCCCAGCCAGTTACTTGAATTTTGTGGTGTGTGTGTGTGTGTGTGTGTGTGCACTCAGGAGGCAGAGGTAGGATGATCTCTGAGTTCAAGACTAGCCTGATCTACAGAACGAGATCCAAGACAGCTTGGGCTACACAGAGAAATCCTGTCTTGAAAAAACAAAACAAAAAGAATAAAGTGAATCTTTTTCAATTCTGCAGTATTGATACTTTGGACTTAATAGTTTTGTTTGTTGGTGTTTTGTTTTTTTTTAAGACAGGGTATCACTGCATAGCTCTGGCTGGCCTAGAACTCACTATGTTGACCATACTTGCCTAGAACTCACAAAAATCCAACTGTTTTTGCCTTCCTAGTGTTGGGATTAAGGGCACAGGCCACCAGACCCAGCTGGACTAGATAATTATATGCTGTCAGGGCTATTACAGGTTATTAAACAAAATACCCAGATTGTAGGCACTAGTTGCTCATAGTGTACACTGATAGTGATAACCAAAAATGTCTCCAGCCAGGCAGTGGTGGCGGATGCTTTTAAACCCAGCACCAGGAGGCAGAGGCAGGCTGATCTTTGTGAGTTCGAGGCCAGCCTGTGCTACAGAGTGAGTTCCAGGAAAGGTACAAAACGACACAGAGAAAGCCTGTCTCGAAAAACTAAAAAAAAAAAAAAAGATATAGCCCAGGTCTGCAGAGATGTGTCAGTGCTTAAGAAGGCATCCTGGGCAGGCATGGTGGTACATGCCTTTAATACCAGCACTCCAGAAACCAAGGCAGGTGGATCTCTGTGCTAGGATTAAAGGCATACCACGACTTCCGGCTAAATTTTTGTTTAGTTTTGCTTTTCTATAACACACTTAACATTTACCTTCTATCTTCATAGACTCAGAAATCACAAAGTCCCGTAAGCTAAAAGCAATGGCTCTTGTCTGCTCAGGAGCACTCAGGAGTCTGACGGGGATTTCAGGGAGGAAGAGGCCAGAAGAGGATACATAGTGAGTTCCAGCCTGTCCCCATTGCTACAGTGAAACTCTGTTTCTACACAAGCAAACAAAAATCAGCAACAAAAGTCAACTTACAGGACTATTTCACAAGTCCCAGCTTCTCAAACTGTGGATCATGGCCCATATCCAGTCATATACCTGAAGGTTGGAAATCACAAAATACCTAGCAATAGTAAAAGATTCCTGAACATGCAATGAACAAAAAAAATAATTCAGCAGTGAGGTGGTTGCATACACCTTAGTCCCAGCCCTGGAGAAGCAGGCAGAAAGAGGAGGCCAGCCTGGTCTACAGAGCAAGATCCAGGACAGCCAGGGTTACACAGAGAAGCCCTGTATCACAAAAAAAAAAAAGAAAGAAAGAAAGAAAGAAAAAGAAAAAAAGAAAAAAAAAGGAGCAAAATGTTGTCTGTGAAAGAAATAGTTCAGACAAACTCACCACCAAACTAAGATGTCTGAGTGTTGAAAGAAGACATACCTTTGCCTCCCAAATGCTGGGATTAAAGGTGTGGGCCATGTTGCCCAGTCTGACCTTGAACTATGTTTTTGTTTTGTTGATGTTTTTTGTTTGTTTGTTGGCAGAGGGGGGGGTTTGGGGGGGGATGGGATGGTGGTGGTGGTATGTTTTTGTTTTTTTGAAACAGGGTCTTTAGGCTAGAGAGATGGCTCAGTGGTTAAGAGCAAACTCTGCTCTTCCTGAAGACCTGAGTTCAATCCCCAGCAGCCACAGCGGGTGGCTTACAACTGCCTGTAACCCCAGCTCCCAGGGACTTGCATTCATGTGCATACACATAATTAAAATAATAAAAATAAATTTAAAAAAGAAAAGAGTAGGGCAGTGGTGGTACACGCCTTTAATCCAAGCAGGTGGGAGGCAGAAACAGGCAGATCTCTGTGAGCTGGAGGCCAGCCAGCCTGGTCTACCAAGTAAGTTCCAAGGCAGTGAGGGCTGTTACACAGAGAAACCCTGTATCTTATTCAACAACAACAACAAAAAGAATGAGTAAATAAAGAGTAATTTAAAGGAGAAAGGGTTTATTTCAACTCACATTTTAAAGATTACAGCCCAACATGATAGAGAAGTCACAGCAGCAGGAACTTGAGGAAGCTCACCATGTTACATTCCCACCTGAAAATAAAATAGAATGATGCTGGGCATGGTGGCACACATCCTTAAATCTCAACACTTGAGAAGTAGAGGCAGGAGAATATCTGCGAGCTCAAGCTAACCAGGGATACACAGTAAGACATGGTCTCATTAATTAAAAGAAAGAAAGAAAGAAAGAAAACAGATGGGCACTGGTGGCACACGCCTGTAATCCCAGCACTCAGGAGGCAGAGGCAGGCGGATCTCTGTGAGTTCAAGGCCAGCCTGGTCTATAGAGCTAGTCCAGGACAGGCTCCAAAGCTACAGAGAAACCCTGTCTCGAAAAACCAAAAAAAAAAAAAGAAAGAAAGAAAAAGAAAAAGGAAAGAAAGAAGAGAAAAGAAAGAAAGAAGACAGTGATGAACTCTTGTACCAAACTCACTTTCTCCTATTCATACAGTCCAGTATTCCAGCCCAGGGAATGATGCCACCCACAGTGGATGGGTCTTCCAATCTTTTTTTTTTTTTCCAGAGCTGAGGACCAAACCCAGGGCCTTGTGCTTGCTAGGCAAGCACTCTACCACTGAGCTAAATCCCCAACCCCGGGTCTTCCAATCTTAATTAACTTAATCAAGTTTATTCCCCATAGCTATTCCCACAGGCTTGTCTTCAAGTCTCCAAGGTATAACTTGAAACAAGATATAACTGTAACCCTGGCATGAAACTCTCTGTAGGCCAGAGATCGGCTTGTCTCACTTTCCAGGTACTAGATTGACAGGCAGGACCACCATGGCCAGTTTATCACAGCCCTTTTCTGACATTTTGGAATACATATTTACCAAACAATGTTTCAAGAATGGTGGCCCACACCTTTAATCTCAGCCCTGGAAGAAGTCCTGGGAAACAGAGGTAGGCAGATCTCTGTGAGTTCCAGGACAGCCAGGACTGCATAGTGAGATTCTATGGAATGACACCCAAAATTGTCCTCTAGTCTCTACACACACCCAATCACACATGTACACCCATCCTCACAAACATGTATACATACAGAAATCAAAACATCCACCAACCCTAGAAAACACTGAAGGTGCTCTTCATCCTGCATCATCAAATACTTAGTGAAGATTTATCTCTTTATGTTAAAAAGAAACAAGCTCATTCATTAATTAACATGCAAATTAGCTTCTCTCTTTTATAAATGGTAAAATTATGCATAAACTAAAGAATTGTTTTAAAATAAATTTTTAGGTTTTTTAAAATCAGTGAATGTTTCATTTGTACATCTGTTTTACATGAATATATACCCAATATCGCATTAAAAAAAACTCAAAGGCAAAGAAGTAGTAAGATAAACCAGTTGATAGAGTCTTTGCTTTGCAAACATGAGAACCTGAGTTCAGTCTCCAACACTCAAATGAAAAATCTGGGTGTGTACCTGGGCAATGGTGTCACAGGGGTTTAGCTCCAGTTCTAGGGAAGCAGAGGTA